ACACACAGAGGGGGTTTCCTGCCGTGTGGAGACACCGTTTTAAGTCAGTTTTGTCGGCTGACTCAAAGGACGTTTCATGTTCGTGTAAGGAAATACCTGGTCCTTCACATCATACTCTGCTGCTACAGCAAAGATTGTTCAGTTCTTCCAGGCTCACAAAATCATGCCCCTGCTGTATTAGAAATTCTTCCACAACTGGCTGTATTAGACGTTCCCCCACACCCCTTAACATATTTATAAACTTTGATGAGGTCACCCCTTAGTCTCCTCTTCTCCAAGCTCAAGAGACCCAGCTCCCTCAGCCTTTCCTCATAAGGGAGATGTTCCACTCCCCCAGTCATCCTTGTGGCTCTGCACTGGACTCTTTCAAGCAGTTCCCTGTCCTTCTTGAACTGAGGGGCCAGAACTGGACACAATATTCCAGATGTGGCCTCACCAATGCAGAATAGAGGGGGAGGAGAACCTCTCTTGACCTACTAACCACACCCTTTCTAATGTACCCCAGGATGCCATTGGCCTTCTTGGCCACAAGGGCACATTGCTGGCTCATGGTCATCCTCCTGTCTACCAGGACCCCCAGGTCTCTTTCACCTACACTGCTCTCCAGCAGGTCAGCCCCCAACCTGTACTGGTACATGGGCTTGTTCTTCCCCAGATGCAAGACTCTACACTTGCCCTTGTTGAATTTCATCAGGTTTCTCCCTGCCCAACTCTCCAGCCTGTCTAGGTCTCACTGAATGGCAGCACAGCCTTCTGGTGTGTCAGCCACTCCTCCCAGTTTAGTGTCACCAGCAAACTTGCTGAGGGTACATTCTATACCCTCATCCAGGTCGTTGATAAAAATACTGAACAGTACCGGTCCCAGTACTGACCCCCGAGGGACTCCACTAGTCACAGACCTCCAACTAGATTCTGACCCATTGACCACAATCATGTTGTTCAGTGCTGGAAAGAAGAGTCTTTTAGCCATACAAAAGCAAATCCCTACCCTGAAGATACAAGTTGGATTACAAATCCAAATTTAGCTTGAAAAGCAGATGATAACAAGATGTTTATGATAAGGAAATAATAATAATAAAAAAGTTTATCCTTTTCAACATCAGGAAAATATTGCTTTAATTAGAAGTGGATCCCCATATGAGTATTAGAGTGTCTTTGTTAGATGACTCTACCTAATAGAGGGTAAAAACAACCCTTGCTTGAAGGGCAAAATATTTAGTAACCCAAACGTTCTCTATATGCATAACTTTTCTTAGTGTGACCAGATCCATTAAATGCTACGATGTTATTTGCTCTACCTAAAGTCAAATGTTTTACTGCCTGTACACAGACAGTCTTTATCTACAAAGATAAAATGGACAAACAGGGAAAGACAAATAAAAAGTGGAAACCGCCATTGGTCTCCTACTTTAGCATAATGGTGACCAACAGTGCAGGTAGATTTATGCAGTTTAGAAGTTTGGATCTTTTGTATTGTTTTCTAGGGTACTGTAGAAAATGGCTGTCCATATTTTCTCTGAAGTGCAGTGAACGAATGATCTCAGGATTTCAAAGTTTTCCTTTTTTGTCTTGATTTATCTTTTGTGTAGAGGAATGACAAGTAATGTCTTGGAAAATAGCAAGTTATCAAACAGTATTGATTCCATTCTATTGCAGTGACCTAGAAAGTGTTATTTCTCATTGAAAGATTGGGTTGTGGTTTTCCCATACAAATAAGCAGGTTCTAACTCTTGAGAATGTTTCAAGTTGTTATTATTATTTAATTATTGAAAAAACACCTTTTTTTTTTGTTTCCTTGCTTAAAGGCTGCAGAAATTTTCTATTATTAGATTAAGTAATCCCTTGAATTGTAACTACCACATATCCTAAATCTTCTATCTATAGCTTTTCATGCCTTGTTTTCTAATGAAATTCTAAGGATCCCCTCCTTCCTTCATTCATGTAATTGAAACCTTTTATTACTGATTTGAAAAAGAGTAGAAACTAGACTTACTGCAGTAATGGTATTTTTTGGTTTGTGATTTGAAGTGTGGAATGATGAGCAAAGATGATGACTAAAATATGATGAATAATGATGACTAAAATAAGAATGGATTCTTCTACTTCAAATTAATCTTCCCAGTTTCAGTTATAAATGAAGACTGAAGTGCCAAATTTTCAAAACCCTATGATTTCTAACTGAAATTGAACAGATTTTCAAAAATCATTGGTGTGTCCCTTACACATCTGTAAGCTCAGTAGCATACAAGAGTTCAGGTAAAAATCTAAAACCTGTAAGCCTATCCCAGCTTTGCTACTTACTAATAATTTATCAATGGGGAATGATAAGAAAATAAGGCTAACTCATTGTGTAGGCTTTCTTGGTGTGCAGTAAAGGGGAACTAGCTCACTCAACTCAATAGACAGCTGAAATGTACAATTAATTAAAAAGAAGAAATTATACATGACATTTTGCAAAAATTGACCCACATTGATTTTAATTATTTACACTCCTAGAAATATATTAATTGCTGTATTTTACATGTGTCATTTAGAGATAGGCTATGTTTCTTATACTGTTTTCAGCTCCACAGCATGAACCTGTAGAATAAAGTCCAATAAAAACATGAAAGCTGTTGGGGTTTTCATAATTTAAAAAAAAATAAACTTTGAACTTTAAACTCTTGTGATGATGCTATTACTATTTGTTAGAAATTGCCTTTATTTGAAGAAACATCATTAAAAGATTCTTTAAGAACTTGTACAAGTTCTTAACATTCTGAACGTAGTTTTATGTATTTTCTGCATCACTGAGAGTTTTCCAGTTGACTTTACTGTTGCTGAACTTGCAGTTTGCTGAGATCTGCTGTAACAGGTCCATGTACAGTCAGTCTTCCTCAAGGTGAAATCAGTTGCCCTGTTTATGGTGCAGAGTGCTATGCAGTATAAATAAAGGTATTCAGTGACTCTCTTAGTTAATATTACTGAGTCAATTATTTTGGCCACTGAGTGGGTGAATATGCTTAATCACACTAAATTCCATAAGAGCATAAAATAAAAACAGGAACACCTAAAGTATCCTGGTTTAATTGCTGGGTGTAATTATCTGTAATGCAGGGACAAAACATCTATTGTAAATCTTGAAAAAATTAACCACTTAGGTGTCGTTGGCATAGTGCTTACACTTTTAATTATAATGAAAGGCAATGACATCAATGAAACTTATGACATCAAACGATTCCATTGATATCACAACATTAAAATGTCCTGGGACCTGAAAATGTTAATACCTGTAGCAGCTGAATGAATTCTAGAGTTGTGTAAGACTAAGGCAATGCTGCCGCCTAATGATGGGAGTATATAAGCCGCAGTATAGCAGAGTTTTTTGCTTGGCAAGCATGCTAAGTATGTGACAACACTTGAAGTCTAGAAATTAAATAAAAAGCAATGAAAATCGGCCCATGAACTAGAGTATGCGATTTCATGGTGTGCCAGGCCATTTATTGATTCAAATATGAAATAAAAGAAAAAAAAAAAAAATCCACTGTAATCTCTTAGTCTGTAAAGTTTTTGTTTTCTGCATCTTAACATCTGCTATGAGTACAAAGAAAATGAACCTTCACTTTTTCTCTATATTGACCATTTTTCTTTTTAAAAAAATATTTCATTTATTTCCTAACACTTAAGCACTATGGTAAATATATAATAATATTCGTCTTAGAAATTGTATCATTTTCTGCAATATTCAACTACCATTTCCCCCTTGATATTCCCCCTTGATATTGAAACTACATGAATGTCTTAATGTTCCACTTATCTATGCGGCATATTATTTAGAACTGTTCAATGTAGTCTAGCGGCTGAGAACAATACCGTTAATAGTATTACTGTCAGGGTAATTCATTGACCCATAAAGAGCAATAACACTTCTGTGAGGCATCTGCCAATGTAATGTCTGACAGCCTGTACACCCAGCAGATTAAAACTGGATCCAGACCTGCAGTATTTTCTCCTTTTCTGATTCTTCTGGTAGATCTTTCCATTTGTGCACTATAGTGAAACAGAAGAAAGCAGAAAGCTTGCTCTTATTTTCTCTCAACTTTATATATATTACCTCTTTAACATGAAATGCTGTTGAAAAGGCATAGGAAATTCAAAGATAGCTATTGATTTGTGCCAGCTAACTCTGACAAAGATTTTCATGGCAAATTGGTCAACCTTTGAACAATTAAAATTTGGCAAAACCTAATAAACTGTAATTAAGGCATTATAAAGGCATTGATTCGTTAGCAGGCAGTACATTAAATCATTATAATTGTACCATAAAATTATTAAGGCAGTGGAGTTAATGCATTTGTAGTCTGTGCTGCAGATACATTTTTTTTAAGAAAAGTGCATATTTCTCTTATATGTGCTTTTTTTTTTTTTTTTTTTTTAATTTTTGGTATTATACCCCTCTCAGCTGGGCTCCCTTCCAGCAATCAGCATCTTCACAATGAGTTCACTTCAAAGTGAGTGATTCAGGTCTCAATCTCTCTCTTCTGTTTCAACCCAATAGGTGCAGGAGGTTGGTCTCCATCAGACAGTGACCATTACCAATGGCTGCAGGTGGATTTTGGGAACAGGAAGCAGATCAGTGCTATTGCCACTCAAGGCAGGTATAGCAGCTCAGACTGGGTCACTCAGTATCGGATGCTCTACAGCGATACAGGGAGAAACTGGAAACCATACCACCAAGATGGAAATATCTGGGTAAGTCATTGGTGTAAAATGGAAGTATATGCTGTAACGACATTGATTGACTGTGTTTTTAGGAACTCCACACCTCATACAACTCCACAGTGTTGTTTTTGTGAGGACAGAACAGAGTTTAGCTCAAAACATAATTATTCAAGTTGCAGCTGCTCTCAGGAGGCCTCTCCCTGGATTAGCAAACCCCTTTTGGGATTATCGTAATTGTCAGAACATGGAGATACTTTTTGGTTGTTGTTATTCCTCAGTGAGTCTCTTACATATTAGCTTTGCTTTCCCT